TGTGTGTGTGTGTGTGTGTGTGTGTGTGTGTGTGTGTGTGTGTGTGTGGTAGTTAATCTGCAGTGTATTAATATTGAGCTGGTGTTGCAGTGTGCAGACGTGCAGCCTGCTAATGAAGCTGAACACATCCTGATCAAAGAGGAGTGTGAAGAGGAGGAGAACGACTCGGAGGACAAACCGAGTGAGTTCAATCGGAAGCTTCCGTTGCTCATCACATGATCGGTGTAAACTTTTAAAGATCGCTGTGGCAGCGTGTGTATGATTACAGAACACGTGACTGAAAATACTCACGTTTCTCAGCACATTTGAATGCGTCATCATTGTTTCAGAGTAGAGAATGGAGATAAAGAGAAGAGAGTTCAGCTTCAGTGTGGAAACATCCCTTAGAATAACACCATTTATCACCATTGGTGTGAATGATTCTGTGCAGGTCACAAACATAGCTGCTGTTAGCCATGATGAGCTACACACCCGGTGCTTTCAGTCAGCCAATCACAATAAAGTTGCAGCTTGATGTGCAACTTTAATGAAAGACATTAACCATAAACCACCAGTGTGAGCGTTTCTAAACACATGTGAAGCAGCAAAAATGTAATGAATTCAGGTCCTCAGCTTGTGTTTGAATCGTCTTTTTGATCTCCTCAGAGGTCAGTTCAGGTTCTGGTCCAGTTGCTATTCAAATCTTTTGCACATTGCTGTTTGTTAATAAACAGAGGATTGCTATTATAAGATTTGATAAGAGATTTGTTTGTCTTAGAGCTTGAAAACCTCCACTTTAAGACGATGTGTGCCTCCTGTGCTTTCTTTAGTCTCTGGAGCCGAGCAGCCGCCATGTTTCGACGCCTCACAACCCGCCCAGACCGATGGCTTCGTGGAGCGGTACCACTCAGCCGAGGACCCAGCCGACCCCGGATCTCTGGTTTCCCCGGCAGACGTCTACGACACTTTCCCGGAGCAGCAGCAGCCGGACGGACGCCGTAACGAGGCAGAGCTCGTGGTGAAACACGAGAACGAGGAAGAGTCCGACGAGAACGCAGCTCCTCTCGATCCGGCCCACAGGTTTGTGACGGAGGAGGGCGACCACCAGCTGTGGTCGTCCGATCTGTGCGGGGACGCCGGTGATCCAAGCTTCTCGGGCGCCGAGCATCAGTTTGAGCCGATTGCCTTTCTGTTCCCGTCCCAGAGCGGACTGCATTTGGAGGACACGGTGCCTCAGATTCACTCGGTAGGGAAATCACATTCAGCCGCGGTGGTGAGTGCGGCACGCGTGAAAAGACGAGCCAGAGCGTTGGGATTCAAGAGATCACAACCAGAGGAAGGACACGGTGCGTTATCTCAGATCAACACCATGGATCAGTGCTCGATTCCTCAACAATCGCAGCTTCAGTACAGAGATTCGCCTCAAGTGAGGAATCCAAACGAGGATTTGACACCGCCAAACCCGGCGGCCTCGTCTTTCTGCGGGCACAACCGCAGCGGCGGTTTCGGCCTGGCGAGGAGGATGAGGACGCCCTGGAGGTCCGGCATCGGCGAGAAGAGGTTCAGCTGCACGTACTGCGACAAAAGCTTCGTGAGGTTCAGTCAGCTCAAGGAGCACCTGAGGAGTCACACGGGGGAGAAGCCGTTCAGCTGCCTGCAGTGCGGCCGGAGCTTCACCAAACAGTGCAACCTCATCAGACACGCGGTGGTCCACAGCGGGGAGAAGCCCTACGAGTGCTCGCTGTGCGGGAAGTGCTTCACGCAGCGCTCCAGCCTCAAGTCGCATCAGAAAACAGCGCACTGAGTTCACAGCGGTGCCTTCTATACATCTGACTCATTCAACTGTTGTGTCGGTTTTGAAATTGTAATACATGTATGTTTATTTTGAATTTATGCCTTTTTTCCTCGTATTTTTCCTTCCTCTCTCTGCAGCCACTAGTTTCCAATCCTTTCTGCAGGTATGTTAGTACGTTAGTGTGTTAGTGGACTCTTCCAGCAGTCAATAACTGACTAAATGTTTGTACAGAGTTCAGTTGGCTTCCTGAAACCGGAGCACAAATACATCAAACTTTCTAAACACAGTAGATCAGTGCATCCAGCCTGGTATGGCCCTTTAAATGTGTCTCTTCCTGTTTTGAAATTGCTCCGTATGTCTTGGTGAGATAAACAAAACACCTTTACTACTTTAGTCTTTATTTGTTTTTAATATTTTGTGTGTGTTTATATATAATATAAT